CTGCAGGAAGGCAAAGTCCTTGAGTGGACTCCGCTCAAAGACATCATTGAACAGACCAACACCTTAATTGATAGTCAGAAACAGATTCCTGCCGTGTAAATAAGATTTTTTTTTTTTTTTATCAGTTGTCTAGCGTCGTTGTCTTCTGTTTATCCTTTACATTTTGTCAATAGAGTAGAACATATTCCATAAGAGGACATATCTCTATAAAAGACAGTTTTGATCACTAAAATTACCATTGTTTTTATTAATTAGCAACTCTCTGGTAAAAGGACACCTCTCCCTAAAGGACACTTTGGCTCTGTAACTAGGTGTTGTCCTTTACAGAGAGGTAGTTTACTGTAGCTGCTCTCTGGTAAGAGGACACCTCTCCCTAAAGGACACTTTGGCTCTGCAACTAGGTGTTGTCCTTTACAGAGAGGTTACTGTAGCTGCCCTCTGGTAAGAGGACATCTCTCCCTAAAGGACACTTTGGCTCTGCAATTAGGTGTTGTCCTTTACAGAGAGGTAGTTCTACTCTAGCAACTCTCTGGTAAGAGGACATCTCTCCCTAAAAGACAATTTGACTCTGTAACTAGGTGTTGTCCTTTACAGGGAGGTAGTTCTACTCTAGCAACTTTCTGGTAAGAGGACATCTCTCCCTAAAGGATACTTTGGCTCTGTAACTAGGTTTTCCTTTACAGAGAGGTAGTTCTACTGTAGCAACTCTCTGGTAAGAGGACATCTCTCCCTAAAGGACAATTGGCTCTGTAACTAGGTGTTGTCCTTTACAGAGAGGTTACTGTAGCTGCTCTCTGGTAAGAGGACATCTCTCCCTAAAGGACACTTTGGCTCTGCAATTAGGTGTTGTCCTTTACAGAGAGGTAGTTCTACTCTAGCAACTCTCTGGTAAGAGGACATCTCTCCCTAAAAGACAATTTGACTCTGTAACTAGGTGTTGTCCTTTACAGGGAGGTAGTTCTACTCTAGCAACTTTCTGGTAAGAGGACATCTCTCCCTAAAGGATACTTTGGCTCTGTAACTAGATGTTTTCCTTTACAGAGAGGTAGTTCTACTGTAGCAACTCTCTGGTAAGAGGACATCTCTCCCTAAAGGACACTTTGGCTCTGTAACTAGGTGTTGTTCTTTACAGAGAGGTAGTTCTACCATCCCATCTCAATCTTGAATCAAGTATGGTAGGCTATGTTTCATTGGTGAGAAAAAAACAACACATACACACCAACAAAATAAATAATAGGAATTTAAAAAAAATTCTCTCCAGATTATGCAACTAAGTAAGTAGAATCTTTCTCTAAAGAACAATATCTAGTTGCATAGCCAAAGTGTCCTTTAGAAAGCGATCTCCTTTTATCAAAACATTATTTCTTTCTTATCCCCACTCAATCATATTAGGGTATCAAGCTTGTAGAGCAGGCTTCTGCCAAAGCAGCCTAGCAAGGAGATTTGACAACCATCATGGCTGGGTGAATTAGAATACATCTGCCTTTGTCATTAAGACTGGGGGGACTACACAGTGGCAGGCCACTGACTTAGCTCCAATATGAAATGGCTGCCTCTGACATGAGAAACAGAAATCATGTACAGTGACCCCTAATATGGAATGCAAACGCCGTTTATTCATTTTTATGTATCCTTGTAGAAGGGCAGAAATGATCAATATCTCGAGATTGCATTAATAAAATAAAAAAACCTCATTCAAGAACCTGTTGTATTATTTTATTTATATTCAGGAGATTTAAATAAAATTAACATACAGTAAAACCTCGCTAATATGAACCCTGGATATAGCGAACCTTCCCTTATAACGAACCCACAGCGATTCCCAATTCTATTCCATTGAAAATACCATCCTTATAACGAACTTTGCGATTTTTTAAATAACGAACTACCCCTATAACGAACCTATTTTCGGTCCCAAAATGATAAAATATATTAAAAATACTATGCTTATAACAAACTCAAAATTGATTTAAAAAAATTTTTAAAACAACAAAATTTTGAGCATGTTTCAGCTCACGGATCGTGATTTCAAAACAAAAAATTAGCTGCATTGTTTGTTTTCATTTCCATTCTATTTTTGCTGTACGAGGTGTATAGCGTATAAGTATCGCGACTTTTGTGTTTTTTCAAAAATTATTTATTTATTCATGAATACCTATTTTATCCCCTTCAAAGTAATCCCCATGAGATATTATACACTTGTGCCAACGGTTTTTTCCGATCTTCGAAGCACTTCAAAAAATCATTTTTTAAAATCTTTTTCAGCTCCTTCTTCGACATCTCGTCAAGCGTAGCATAACTTTCATGGGCCTCTTCAGGTTAGGAAACAAGAAAAAGTCAGGGGCCAGATCTGGGGAATACAGTGGCTGCGGCATCATTACTGTGTTGTTTTTGGCCAAAAAGTCGCGCACAAGCAACGATGTGTGAGCAGGGGCGTTATCGTGGTGCAAAAGCCAATTTTTGTTCTTCCACAAATCCGGGCGTTTCTGGCGGATTGCTTCGCGCAAATTGCACATAACTTGCAGGTAATATTCCTTATTGACCGTTCTACCCTGTGGCAAGAACTCATGATGCACCACGTCCCTGCAATCGAAGAAAACTGTCAGCAAAACTTTCACATTCGACCGAACTTGGCGCGCTTTTTTCGGTCTTGGTTCGTGCGGCAGCTTCCATTGAGATGATTGAGCTTTGGTTTCCACGTCATAACCATAAACCCACGCTTCGTCACCAGTTATGACCCTCGGGAGCAAATTTGGGTCGTCGCGGACAGAGTCCAACATCTCATTAGCAATGTTCATGCGATGCTGTTTTTGGTCGCAATTGAGCAATTTTGGTACGAATTTCGCGGCGACCCTTCTCATGCCCAAATCATTGATAAAAATCGAATGACACGAGCCAATCGATATGTTTAGGTCCTCAACAACTCTAACGGTGATTCAACGATTGGCCAATATCATTTTCTCCACTTCATTAATTTTTTCGTCTGTTGTTGAAGTGCTCGGGCGTCCGGCACGCTCTTCGTCGTTCACATCTCGGCCTTCTGAGAACATTTTGTACCACCGATAAACGTTGCTTCGGTACAATGTAGCTTCTCCTATGCCACAGTCAACATTTGGAATGCATCCGCGCACTTAATTTCGTTTTTCACACAAAATTTGATACAGGTTCTTTGATCCATTTTTTTTAATAGGTAAAAATCGAAGACGATCCAAAACACCTGCAAGCAAAGCAGCTGTCAACAATTAAGTGAACATTCAAAATGGCCGAGCTTGTCGGCATAAGTGAGAGACATGAGTAGCAACATAAAGTCACAAAAAGATCGAAATTCGATTATACGTAACCCGCGAAAATTCAAAATTCGCGATACTTTTTGAACACACCTCGTATTTCTTTTTTATCCCCACTCAATCATATTAGCGTATCATGCTTGTATAGCAGGCTTCTGCCGATGCAGCCTAGCAGGGAGATTTGACAACCATCTCGGCTAGGTGAAGTAGAATGTCTTTGTCATTAAGACTGGGAGCACGTCTCAGTAGCACTTAGCTCCAATATGAAATGACTGCCTCTGACATGAGAAACAGAAATCATGTACAGTGACCCCTAATATGCAATGCAAACACCGTTTATTCATTTTTATGTATCCCTGTAGAAGGGCAGAAATGCCCAAAATCTCGAGATTGCATTAATAAAATAAAAGAACCTCATCTCCAAAAAGCTGTTGTATTATTTAATTTATATTCAGGAGATTTGAATAAAATTAACATATATACATAAACCTTTCTTAAGACCTTTCATGTTAAACCAAAATTCTTCAATCAACAAAGTACATTAGAAAAAAAGATACAGCTACATCAACTAATCCTTCTTTGTTTTCTCTATGTTTCAGTGACTCTTTGTTACTTCCTCCTGGGAATGATTATAAGGGGGTCTGTGGAAAGATGGTCTAAACTGTTGGTTTTTGATCACTATGCCCCTGGTTCGATTGTTGACACTTTTCTGAATAAAAAAAATAAAAACTCCAATGGTCCCCCCCCCCCCCCCCCCCGATTCTTGCAAAAGTTCAACCCCACCAACGAGTGTAAGTAACCAAAATGGGTTCTGGCACATTTGTAAATACAAAGTTGAACTGCTTTTCATTTATGTAGACATGTGGTTTACTTAGAGTAAAAGCAGTCACCTACTTCTACCCACCATGATTATCATGGCCTGTACCATGTGGGGATAAGCAAAAAATATATATTATAAGTAGAAGATAGAATTCAGAAACAATCATTTCCTTGAGGAAAGTGACAGTCACTGAAGTGTCTTAAAGAAAAAAAAAAAAGAATTGTGATATAGCTGTTTCTTTTTCAATCAAACTTCCAACCCTCAAATGACATTCAAAACTAAAGAATACATATTTCTAACACCTTGTCAATTCACGATTTTCCGTTGAATATCTTACATTCGAGAAATATTGAAGGAGAATCGGTTCTCTAATCAGCTGACTGTAAGAGGACAAGAAAGCTACAGGACAGTACTGGATGAACTGAGAGTAATGATCACTAACAGATCAAATTGGAGAATATTTGACCTTATAGTCACCAAAAGTCGACTTGTGATGGGCACTAACAACAATTTTAAACTACCATACCTATTATATTCAACAGGTTATGATGTCCCAAATCCTTGTTTTTATGTTCCTCCCACAAGTAGGGTTCACTATTGGACTATCTCTTATAGGTGGTTAAGAAAACAGATCTGCAACATATATGATTAAATACCATTTCTAAGATTCCACCCTTCAGTGTAGCATATACAAATAGAATTATCAAATATGGTATTGAAGCTCTAAGATGCAGTCTGTTAGATTAAATTGGCGAAATCTCTGGGAAGGTTCACCATTGATGAACCAAACCCTCCCAATATTTTTCATCATAGTAAGGACAGTAAAAGTTTGTTTTATTAGTAAAATAAAATTAATTTAACAATTAAAAATATTAAGGGAAAGAAACCCTCATGTCAGAATGGCCGAGTGGTCTAAGGCGCCAGACTCAAGAGTAAATCTTATCCTATCCCGTAGCGGGAGTTGGGTGTTCTTGTCCACTGATGTGGACGTGGGTTCGAATCCCACTTCTGACACTTTTTTTTTACTGATTTGATTGTTCTCATTTTTTTTTCCATTTATTAAATATTCACACCCCCACTTATTTAAAATTGTTCGAAATATAAATATTTGTTCAATGTTATCGTTACAAAGACTTGAAGTGTTTAGCTGTGTCCAATCTTGTCAATGCTGTGCATCTGGTGGAACTTCAAAGAATAATCCACTATGAGTTCATTCCAAATGGACGAGCCTTCAATACAATTCAATTTTCTGAATAGCAAGAGCGGTTTCATATTGTTTTGAAAAAGATTTAGCCCGGCTCTGGTGAACAGAAAACGCATTCTTCTCCACAGGATAACGCCAGAATATGCTAAATAAACTCTGAGAGAAGAACCAATTTCGATATAAAGATCAAATGTTATATAAAAAATTTAACATTGTGATTTTTTTAAATATGCGAAAATATTTTAGAGAAACTAGCAGGGTTATTAATTTCTAATTCATGTGATAATATATTTTATTTTATTTAAAATTAGAGCGCTATGTATCCCAGGGAACCTACAGGACATGCAACAATTGTCCTGGTGTTTAACTAACACCTACCCACATATTCTCATGCCCAGCAATGGCCGCAGCCTTGCAGAACATTTATATTGACCCAGAGCAGCAGCTTTACGCACCCAAGATAGAGGGCATTGCGACTGCTATGATAAAGATGCATGGAAACATTTGAGGCTCTTCATTGGACACGACAACAACGACAGGATAACGCCAATCCAAATACAGTGGACCCTCGGTTTACGAGCACCTTGGAGTACGAGCTTTTCGCAGTACGAGCAAAATTTTTTGAAAAATTTTACCTCGGATTACGAGTGAAATTTCGCATTACGAGCAACTCGTGATGGTTGCCCCTAATCGTGATGGATGAAAATTCACTGGGATCCCTCCCTTCAGATCAGATTCGGGAAATTTGTAAAATGTGGGAAACTGTGCAATTGTTCGTGGCAAGAAGAATTGCCCGAGTTTCAATTATTAAAAATAAGAAATTAGTTTCGCACTACGAGCGTTTTGGAGTACGAGCATGGCTCTGGAACAGATTATGCTCGCAAACCGAGGGTCCACTGTACTAATCGAAAATCAAACAAATAGATCCTTGCATAACAAAGGATACTCTGGATAATTCCCCATAACCATTCAGATTATTTGAACGGAAATTAAAAAGGGTATTCCATTATATTCTTCATTGTTCTTCTTCAGGGGGGGGAACAAATATTAGTAGCCTCACAGTTTTTTATCAGAGAAACTGAAGGAAAATATAAATAAACAATGAAAAGGAAGATATCTTTGTGACTAGAAGACACATTGTTTGTTATATACCCCTTAATCAACACTTTATAGACCTGTGTGATTATCTATTCACACTTATTTATTAATTTTACTATTGCTTGAATTTTTTCTTTAAGACTCCGGGGTGAATCTGCGAAAGAGGCATGAAATCTCCAAATAAAGGGCTTTTGTTGTTTTTATTTGCTTTATGTCACCCTTGGTCAAAAGCTCACAACACACATAATTAGAGACAATTTTTCGTTTTATGGAAGTATTAATATAATTTATATATAAATATATATTGGGTATATAAAAATAAAAATTATTTATATTGTGTTATTCAAGAGAACTGATTTTAGCCCATATCACCAAAAGTTCAGAAGATGATAAAAAGTGAAATATTAAATGCATAATATTTATTTAGTACTACTCTAGAAATAATCAATCCAACTTCAAGAAAGTTGTGCAATTAAACTATAGGTATCCCTTGATTAATTATTATAAGAACTGAATATAAATGAGAGAAAAAATAAATATGCTTGTTTTTTTTTTTAAACATCCACATAAGTTTCTTGCATAATACTTGGCCTAAAATAATCACTAGAAATATATAATTAAAAATTTCAAATTTCAGAGCGTCAATTAATTTTCAAAATTTGAATAATTAAAAAAAATGAAATATTTCTTTTAAAAATAAAATCTTAAATATCACAACGACTTTTTTTAAAACAAATTTTCTTGAATATTTTATTAAAACTTCATTGTGTGTAGGAAAGGATTTAATGTTTTTTTTGTTACTTTTGTTTTGCAAAGACATTTACTATTTAAATTCGTAATATTTGAATATTTGAAAATTTAGTTTTCAAAATTCTACGACTATAGTTAAAATTAACCCTAAATAATAACAACAACAAAACAAAAAAGAACAAAAAGAGATTTAAAAATTGTTTGTAAATAGAGAATTATCTTTTGCTTCTGCTGAAATCCGTTCGCTTGGTTGTAGAACACTTCTCTCGCCTTAGTTCTCTTTTAACTTTAAAAATAACCTTTCAAAGAGTAATAACACTTTTTCTAATAGGTAAGTATACATATCATATTTATTTTATTTGCCCTTCAAATATGAAAAAATCGAGATCAATTGATACATTTCCCTCATTGCGTCATATATTAAACACGTCATTTATAATAAATAACATACTAACATTTTGAAAGTGAATCTAAAACAAACAAACAAACAAAAAACTAAAATGCAAATGTCATTTGATTTTAGCACGGTACCAATTTCGATATAAAGATCAAATGTTATAAAAATATTAAACATTGTGAATTTTTTTAATATACGAAAATATTATAGATGAACTAGTAGAGTTATTAATTTCTAATCAATGTTGTAATATGTTTTATTTTATTTCAACTTGGAGCGCTATGTACTCCAGGAAACTTTCACTTTAAAGGTAAATCAAACATAGAAAGAAAATAAATAAAGAACATTTGAAATATGTACAATAATTAGTATACAATTTAGTTAGATTTATAAAACTATTTTAGAGGCGTAATATTCTTTTTAAAATAAAACAATTTCTACTGTCCTTACTGCAATGGAAAAATTAATGGGAGGGCCTGGCTCCTCAGTGGTGAACCCTCCCAGCGGTTTCGCCAGTTTAATCACCATACCGCTGTTATATTGCATTTTTGGAACTTCCTTTTATAGGTGACTGTTGTAAGACTCTTGGAATGGGTATTTTAGAAGAACTATGGACAAGCTTTTAGGACAGCAGAATTAAATATAATTATAAATATAAAATTTAGTTAGATAAAAAGAGAGAAAAACAATCAACACAATTGATATATGTACAAAGGGTTGGTATGCAAATTTAGTTAAATGAAATCACTTGTAGTGTATTATATGAAAACAATTTACAGATTGAGGAAATTTTAAAGGAATATTTTAGAATGAAAATATGCAAGATAGTTATATTTATAAGTTATACAACTATATATTTTCTTTATACCACAAATATGCCTAAATATTTGCATATTTTTATAATTTTAAAAATCATAGGCGTAAGAATTTTTAGCTCATCAAAAGCTCACATAGAAAAATATTTGTTTATTGATTGGATAAAGGAAGTAATAAAACAGCAAAGAAACTTCCTACGTCCCAGAATTTATATTTTTAAAAATTGTTTTTATTCATTTTATTTCAATTTAAATCGCTGTGTCCCCCTAGGGACACTTGCGCTGTCATACATGTATGCCTTTACATTTGTCTATACATATATATAAATACAATAATTTCAGGCCGTGAATAGAATAGTCATATGATGTTAACAATGAGAAAGAGAGAAAAAAAATGAGAAAAAAGAACTGTGTACAAAAGAAAGAAGTGTCTGGCAATATGTACAATCAACATAATATAAATTATCAGTTTCTTAAAAGATATTTGTTGCTTTATAATTTAAAATACAGTTAAACCTGTCCATAGCGCCCCCTCTTGGGACTCACCAAAATAGGGTGCTATAGAGAAGGGTTGCTATAGACAGGTCACTTTTAATGTAAAATGTTTACATTTTAATGTTAAAAATCGGGCGCTATAGAGAGGAAGGTGCTATTTAGAGGGAGTGCTATAGACAGGTTTAACTGTATATCTACAAAAGGTATTGTGAATTTAATATACATTTCTTTACTGGAAATAAAAATATTTATATATTACAGTAGAAACTCTCTGTAAAGGACAACACCTAATTACAGAGTTAAAGTGTCCTTTAGGGAGAGGTGTCCTCTTACCAGAGAGTTGCTACAGTAGAACTACCTCTCTGTAAAGGACAACACCTAATTACAGAGTTAAAGTGTCCTTTAGGGAGAGGTGTCCTCTTACCAGAGAGTAGCTACAGTAGAACTACGTCTCTGTAAAGGACAACACCTAATTACAGAGTTAAAGTGTCCTTTAGGGAGAGGTGTCCTCTTACCAGAGAGTAGCTACAGTAGAACTACGTCTCTGTAAAGGACAACACCTAATTACAGAGTTAAAGTGTCCTTTAGGGAGAGGTGTCCTCTTACCAGAGAGTAGCTACAGTAGAACTACGTCTCTGTAAAGGACAACACCTAATTACAGAGTTAAAGTGTCCTTTAGGGAGAGGTGTCCTCTTACCAGAGAGTAGCTACAGTAGAACTACGTCTCTGTAAAGGACAACACCTAATTACAGAGTTAAAGTGTCCTTTAGGGAGAGGTGTCCTCTTACCAGAGAGTAGCTACAGTAGAACTACGTCTCTGTAAAGGACAACACCTAATTACAGAGTTAAAGTGTCCTTTAGGGAGAGGTGTCCTCTTACCAGAGAGTAGCTACAGTAGAACTACGTCTCTGTAAAGGACAACACCTAATTACAGAGTTAAAGTGTCCTTTAGGGAGAGGTGTCCTCTTACCAGAGAGTAGCTACAGTAGAACTACGTCTCTGTAAAGGACAACACCTAATTACAGAGTTAAAGTGTCCTTTAGGGAGAGGTGTCCTCTTACCAGAGAGTAGCTACAGTAGAACTACGTCTCTGTAAAGGACAACACCTAATTACAGAGTTAAAGTGTCCTTTAGGGAGAGGTGTCCTCTTACCAGAGAGTAGCTACAGTAGAACTACGTCTCTGTAAAGGACAACACCTAATTACAGAGTTAAAGTGTCCTTTAGGGAGAGGTGTCCTCTTACCAGAGAGTAGCT